GCATATAGATTTACGACCATAATAGTATGTTGTTCATAAGGTGCATGAGCCTTCTTAATTATTGGATTGCTATAATTATGCTTAATTTGCTTATTTAAGCTTAATTATGATTGCTTCATTATGTGTTGCATCAAAAAGTCAGCGTAAACACACCTTTTGCAAAACTTGTATTCAATTTCATTCAGATTTGTTAGATCTTTAAAATCTGAAATTATCTCATCATGTGGGAACTGCTGAGGGCAGCAACAGCAATATGAACTGAATTTCTCATTTCCAAAATGTTCTTCCTGATACTGAAAGAATCGTTAATTGAATTGTTGAGGAACCGGAATCGTTAAGAGCAATCAGAATCAAAACCAGAATCGTTCATTCTTTACGGTTCCCATCCATATCTGACACTTTGAACGTTTGAACGTTTACACATAGAAGTCTTTCTGCACAGACGCGCCCCACTCATATGTCGAAAGAATGCGTCAGCTTCTTAAAAACTCTCCCCCACTCTTGTGTCAGGGCACCTCCTCCTCTTTTTCTTTAGTTCTGTCTCTATCTCTCCTTCCCTGCTGTGGAGCGACTTGATGAATGCTAATATCACTCCATCAGCAGATTGCGTGCCCTCTGTAGGAGCCGTTTCGCTGGAAAATGCCTTAAGTTAAGCTCTGCGTCGGATGCTCATTTGTGACAAAGACTTTTGCTTTGCGATATTACAAGGAACGAAACCCTCCAACAAATCAGTTTCACATTCTCTCAGACATTGTTCTATTTCTGTTCTATGTAACGTTTCACAGAAAAGATGAATAGGGACTATACTCGTTTTTGCATATTCACCAGAAAGTCATGTTTTTGCTGTACTGCAAAACAACTTGTTCTGAATTGTTGTACAAAATTGTTGTACAGAAGCCAAGTGTGTTTGTGTTTTAGTGTCATTCTAATGGTTAAAATAGAGGTACGGTAAATACGAGTGATATTTAGTGCTCAGAGAGCAGGTTGGCATTGCTGCAAAATCACCAGATGCCTAATGAAAAAAACAGCTCATTGTTCTGAGATACACAAATTATGATTGAGTAAAACCCTTGTTTCAGAATTAAAATGTTCCATCTCATTTCCATTGCAGAAAATGAAAATGCACTCACTCTCATGTATTCCAAACTAATGTTCTTCTGTGGAACATAAAAGGAGATACTTTGAAAAATGTTCGTGCTGCTATTTTCAATGCAAAGAAAAAAAAAACACCATAAAAGATACTGCTCATTTGTTATATTCTACGTCTTCTGAAGTCATATGATAGCTATGAAGTTCCCCCTGTGCTGCAGCTCTTAAAGGGGTCATATGATGCGATTTCAAGTTTTCCTTTCTCTTTGGAGTGTTATAAGCAAAAACTAAAGAGATATTCTTTATAAAATTTAAGACTTGTTCACGCCCTCCTAAAACACACGCCTCCACATGTCTACGTCACGATGTGGGAAGATTTGCATAACGCCGCCCAAATGTTTACGCAAAGAAAGAAGGCGCAACTTTGATTCTCGCTGTAGTATTGTTGCTGCCGCCGCTGCCATGTTGTGGAGACGCTGTGTGTTTTGTTGCTAAAGTGAAAATACTTTGTTTGGTCTTCCGAAAGAGGACACGACTAGAAATCAGTGGTTAAGTTGTATTTACAACACTGTTCCAGAACAGTTCAACCCAAATATTCAGATGTGTGCAGCACATTTTATGGAGGACTGTTTCCTGATCCTGGGAGAGTAGACTACAATGCCGGCTCTTCTGACTCACAGACTGTAAGTACGTTTTTTATATTTAAAGAATTTGCCACTGATGATTCAAACGTGAGTTTTGAACAGTGTAGAGTAGTGTTTGTTATTTGTAGTTTCTCCGATCACAAATGCAGACATGGTTTTATGTTTACGCGGCGAGATGCAACGCAACGCGTTAAGAGACAGTATAAGTCATTATAATCAGTAATTATGTCCCCACTGGATGCAACAAATGCCTCGTTTATAATGGGTTTTATTGGTTTTGTCTCGCCGTGCCGGGAGACGGCGTCACAGTATGGTAAGGGTTGTAACATTTCCGTCACACGCTCAAGGCATCCGGCCAATCACAACGCACTGAATAGCTGGCCAATCAGAGCACACCTCGCTTTTTCAGACCGATGAGCTTTGTAAAAATCGACGCGTTTCAGAAAGGCGGGGCATAGAGGAGAAACAATAATGTACAGTATGTGGAAAATAATGTGTTTTTTGAACCTTAAACCGCATAAACACATTTCATTACACCAAATACACAAAATAATGTTCTTTTTAGCAGCATCATATGACCCCTTTAAATCTCAACACTGTCAATGACACCAAATGCCATTGTTTCTGCATGTTTCTGTCTAATGCCAGGTTGGAAATGCAATAGAGATTTGTGAGCTGTGGTGAATGGAAAGATTTTTAGCAATTAATGATTTACATTTTGATCCCTTTTCTCACACAAAGTGTCACTTTATGACATTGTATGACTTGTTACTTGTTACTAAAACTAAAATAATTTGTTAATTGAAATAAAGCTTACATAAATCTAAACATAAATAACAGGTGGAAAACCAAAACCTAAAAAATACTTAAAAATTAAAATGAGAAAATTATTATATTTTAGAAAATTATCATTATTATTATAATTCTTATAGCTGTATTGATATTTACAAAATATTAATGACAAAAGCACATAACAAAATGACTACAATTTAAATGAAAACTGAAAATATAAAATAAAAGCTAATTCAAATATGAATAAATACTATAATATTGTATAAATGATACTAAAATAACACTTTTTCAGAAGATTAGACTGGACTTTTATTCATCATTATGGATTCAACATGAAATAACTGAGAATTTTCGATTTTCTGGGTTCAGTACAAGTTCAATTGCCATAATTTGTGGCATGATGTTAATTACTACAAAAATTAATTGTCTTTCCTTTTCTTTAAAAAAGCAAAAATCTGAACTAGTGAGGTACTTACAATTTAAGTGAATGGGGCCAATCTGTAAACACTGAAATACTGTGTGTTTCAGCAGCATAGCCACAAGACATAATATGTGTTAACGTGATTTTATTATTTTAAAAAATCACTTATTAACCTCAGAATAGCTCAGCCAAAAATGAAAATTTGCTGAAAATTCACTCACCCTCTGGCCATCCAAGATGTAGATGAATGTGTTTCTTCATGAGAAGAGATTTGGAGAAATGTAGCATTGCATCACTTGCTCACCAATGGATCCTCTGCAGTGAATGGGTGCCGTCAGAATGAGAGTCCATTCTGGTGCTTGATCTGTGCATATTTTTCGCCTGCTTCAGGCAAGAGTTAAAAACGTCTTCAAGACGGATTTGTTATTCAGCTTTTCGCTTCACAAGACGTTTACTGATGGACTGGAGTCGTGTGGATTACTTGTAGATTATTGTAACTGAGTTTAACTTGTACTGAACCTGGAATATTCCTTTAAAACATGGCTATGCTAATGCTGCATTCATGACTGCATACTCAGTAGTCAGGTGCAGCTGTTATTTTGCTGTGCGGGGTTTTGCAATATGTACAGTACTTTCTGCAAGTCATGTGTGTAGACACAGGGTCACTAATACCCAGGTGCGAACGTGTCCCTCCGGCCTCCTGAGTTTCTGACCTTCAGAACGATACAGCCTTCACAAACAAACAGGAGAGACTGCCATTATGCCATTATGTAAGGCATATGCATGACATTATTCTACTTTTTTCGACTTAATTCTACTTTTAATGTCTTGCTATCTATTCATCCATACAAAAACGTCTTCAGGGAGTAAGAGAGAGAGAGAGAAAATCCTCTGTTTCACAGATTGGCGTAAGTGTGAGAGATGTGCGGATGTTAAAAATGGGGTGAGAGTGAGAGGAACAAAAAATGTGTAAATGTGTGCATTTCACAGGCTGTAGGATTGGGGGAGAGAGAGAGAAGCTATAATTGATGTCACACCAGGTGTGTGTAGGGAATGAGAGAAGAAGAAAAGCAAGGGAGGAGGGATCGTCAGGGTTACCTATCCATCCTCTCGCTCTCTCTTCCTCCAGCACACCTGCAACACATCTAGTCCCTCATGATTACGACATCCCTAGATATAACCAGACCCTGGCAATCCCATTACAAACACTCGCTGTAGTGGAATTTTACTTCCTGTCCTATTCAACAGTGCACAATAGCTCTGGTACGAAACCCAGAGCTGCATGTCTAGTGTCTGCAAAGGCTGCAGCTTTCTAAGGCGGCATTCTAAACAGAATGTAATCTCATAGGTGACTGATTTGGAACACTGCATTCTTGAGTCGCTTACAGATGATTCTAGTGTAGAGCGGCGCAGTCGGGTTTCCACTGTTCCCTTTCATTTTCCTCCATAATGACTGGGGAAATCTCTTTTGATAAATCATTAAAGTGATGATATGGGCTTCTTTAAAAGCTACAAGTCAAGTGTAATTTCACTTCTTTTTTAAGTGTTTAAATGCAGAATTCAAGGTGAAGAACTACATTACCCATAATCTTAAGGAAGAAGTGCCAATTAAAATAGTCGCTGTTGATATGGAATGAAAATCGTGGACAGCAAATGTCCAATTCCATGAAGAAAAAATAAATAGGCAAATGACATAATTAAGTTAGTCTCTCTACACTCTCTTTACTTAATTATACTGGAAGATTTTGTAAACGTTTTTGGAAACCATTTGTTTGATCAAAAATACAGTAAAAACAGTAATGCTGTGAAATATTATTACAGTTTGAATATATTGAATATATTTTAAAATGTAATTTATTTCTGTGATGCAAAGCTGAATTTGCCGATTTGCTGCTCAGGAAAGATTTCTTCTTATTATTATCAACAGTTGTGTAGCTTAATATTATTGTGGAAACTATGATGCATTATTTCATGATTCTTTCAAAAGAACAGTATTTATTTAAAAAAGTAACATTTTTGTCTTTACTGTCACTTTTGATCAAATTAATGCATCCTTGCTGAATAAAAGTATACATTTCTTCCAAGGAAAAAAAAAACTGTCTGAATCCAAACTTTTGAACAACCGTGTTACACACAATTTTTTTAATAAATAAAAAATAAAAATGCTTATTTTCATTATTCATCATTTTTTAAATGATTTTATGGCAATGTAATCCTTACAAGTATTGAAGATTGTTTTTAATGCTTATAGTAAAAATGAATGGGAAAAACACTGGAGCCAAGCCTGCAAAAAAAAGTCAACAGTCACTGTTGTGTTCTATAGTTTCACATTAGTGTGTTAATCTAATATGAAAATCTAGCACAAACATTAAATAGCAGACACAAATATTTGGTTATATTTATTTATACTTTCCATTGTTAAATGAAATATATTTATAATGATTTTTGCTCTAGATTTGCCCTCAATCTTGAATGAACTTTTTCATATAGTGCTGTGCTTATAATTTGGTCAAAACAGGGTATCTTAGAAGGCAGCATAATATTGTTTAACTGCCTGACAACAGCATTTGCATCTAAAGGTTGCCTTAAATACTAAGTAGGTAGCTCTGGAACAGAGCTAACTATTTACTTATAGGATGTTTCAGCCCTTTACATGTTTGCTGTATTTTATTTTCTCCTTACAAAAAGTGTCTCTCACTTTGTCTACAGAAAAAGCAAGAGCAAACATGGCCACACCAATGGAGGGGCTCAGAAAAAGGAAACAGTGAGTGCAAAAAAAGTATATATGAACACATATAAACACAGTGCAATTATGGACATGGATGTACGTACATATACATGATAATGTTTTGAATTTCAGGCTGCTCTGCGCCAGTCCAAGCTGAACTCCATGAGTAAATCTGACACCCGCCTGCATGACATGCACAGGCTGCCCTGCAATGCAAACGGTGAGAGAGACAGACAGATTTAACTGGTCTTAATGATATATGTACACAAGACTCATTTAGCACACACATACGCACATATGCACTGGCCGACGCACGTGCGTGCAAAGACTTACGTCTCCAGAGACTTGTCATGGCAAGATGTTTACTAGCTCATGTTCCCACTGCCACAGACGTGTGATCTGCGAGGCTGAGAATGACAGTTGTCAAGCTGACACACAGAACACACACATCTCAAAGCCTTATATACGTCGGCTTCTGGTCTTTTAAATCCAGACCAATGGAGACTCACTTTATTTAGTGTGTAAAACACAAAATACACAATAAGAAGGATAACAATTATCAATTCGGTCAACATGAAATCAAGGTTTACTCTATTTACTTTTGTAATACATGCTCCTGGTCATAATATCCACAAATCATCAGTCCACATTATTCCAAATTATTCCAAGAAATATGAATATATTGCTTCGACTGTGAAATGACTTTCTGCGGATGTTACCAAGACCACAAGTTTCAACCCAGGTTACAAATTGTAGGAACATCGTTTTGAAATGTTTGTAAAATTTTGAAAATTACGTCCAGTTTTCTTGTCACAATTATAACGTTATTTAAAAGTTACAAAAACATTTCTTCCAACGTTCTGCTAACTTTTTCACACAAAATATTATTTGTATTAATTAATTAATGCATTAATTTTCTAAGAATGTAAATGTCCAGTTTTCTTGTCGTGAGTAGAACTTTATTTAAAGATTCCTAAAATGTTTCTAACAAAGTTCTACTATATTTTCACCAAAGATATAACGTTATCTGAACATTTATTTTTAATTTCTTAAGAACATTAAAATGTCCAATTTTCTTGTCTTGATTAGAACATTATTTATAAGTTACTTACAACTTTCTACTAGTATTATTTTCAAAATATAGCATATTTTTTAGCATTATTTTTAATATTCTAATCAGCGTTGTAAGAACATTCACCAAGTAAAAATAACATCGCAAGAACATTTTCTCTCAACGTTGTGAGACCGTATATAAAATATTCATAAAGTAATAACAATGTTCCATAAACATTACTTTAAGAATGATTTGTCCTAAATATTATATAACTTATTGAAAGTTGTGAGAATGTTCATTGTTAGCAGGGAACGAATAGTGCCAGTGTCATACAAGATCGGTAGAGGTATGCTAAGCTAGTTAGCTAAACAATTAGCTTGCTAACTGGGCTAGGCTAAACTGGAAAAGTAGGCTAAATGTTTAATTTGACCATTTTTAGCTTTGGGAGTATCATCTGATATGTAGTTTAGAAAACAAGATTCACATTTTTTGTTGCCAGTGTAGTTTCATGTTGACTTTAAACTCATTGTACTGTCTCTATGCAGGTTTAAACATATGTAAGATTGTGATTTTGTGGTCAAAATACACATTCCAAATAGTAATGGTCTGCCCCCTTGTGTTTTCATGGAGTAATGTCAAATGTGACATTTTTAATGACACTTTGTACTTTATTGGCCCTTAGTACTATATATGTGTTCAGTATTTTATCCAATATGACATCAATATTCCAAACTTTAATCTTAATCCTCTGTTTAATCTTTCCCATCCCTCTCACATCAATCTGTGTCATTCTGATTGACAGGTGCCCCTAAGAGCCGGCCGGCCAGCATGGACCTTCTGCTCCTGCATACCCGCCGCTCCACTCCTGACCTCCGTCCCAGCCCAGGCCGCCAGCTGCCTCGTGCTCCCAACAAAAATGAGAATGAGGAACGTGAGCACACCTACTCTGAAGTTTGCCGCCGCTCCTCTCCCACATCCCTCCCGCCAGATGACGGCCTGTATGAGAGTGTTGGGATCAAAGGGGCGGGGCCTGATAAAGCTGCCCCACCTCCTGCCCCGATGTCAACCAACACGCCCACTCAGCGCCGTGCCCACAGCCCGACGCTTAATGGGAACGGCCGAGGTGGAAGCAGAGGGGTTGTGAACGGCGTGAGTCAAGACGAAGTGACGGCAGAGTACGCCTCCATACGGAAGGTGAAGAAGCTGGAGCGCGGCAGGAGGGAGGAAGTGGTGGAGGATGGAGAAAGGGAGCACCAGAGCATGTCCAGCAGCGAGTCCTCCAGCAGCACCTTGCCTAGGAAAACAGTGGAACCATTTCACCTACCCAATTTCCCAAAGGTAAATATGACACAGATCAGCCACACAGGTTCAGAATAGTTATACATTTAAAAAAAAACTCAGCTCATAACTCATCCTGCAGGGGCAAAAAAATCTCACAGAAACCTTACAGAACGGGTTGGATATATATGCCTGGAGAACAGAATGTCATATAGACTCTTTCAAGTAACCACCTAAAACACCCTAGCTAGCAACTACACTAATGTAGTAAAAAATGCACTAAACACTCAGAACAACTTAACAGTCACATAGCAACGTCCTAGCAACCACCCAAAACACCCCAGCAACAAAAAAGTAACGCACTAAACACTCAGAACAGTTTAGCATGGCATAGCAATGCCATGGCAACAGCTTAGAACACTCCAGCATCATTATGGTATGTTTTGCACCACTCTCATTTTCTTGAGAAAATCTAATGTTGTTGTTGCAGGCAAAAGAAGAAGAAAAAATAAGAAGTGAGAGAAAAAAGAGTTATAATTGTCTGCCATTTGCGCTAATGTAAATATTAAGCACTTAAATGCAGAGCCTGGTAGTGCAGTTATACGTTTTGACCACTAGAGAGTGCTGTTTCCTATAAAAAAAATCCCCTAGAGCCACCAATCTGAAGCATTTTCTAAAACCTTCATGACTGATATGAATATGACTGATGACATTTACATGATAAATCTTTTAGAGTTTTAGATGTTAAATGTTTTTAATTAAAAGGGGTTCAAGAAATGAACATTAGCGAGCATTAAAATGTTGACTTGCCCACTCATGAGAAAACATTCTATTGACATAGTATTAAAAATGAACTGAAGTGATGCATTGTTACTTTGTGTGTGTGTGTGTGTGTGTGTGTGTGTTTGTTCACATTTCACCCATATTCATGTCAGTCTGTTAGCTGATACCTGTTTATGTTGTGTTCGGCTTTCAAGGACAGATAAGTTTTGCAGAGAACAGAACAGCCATGCTGAATGATGGTGCCTTTAAAATGGAAAACACACAGACAATGATCGGATAATGATCCAGTCTTCCTGTTAACTCAGCTCTGCTCTACTTGTCTTTATGTGTGTGTTTGTGCCATTTGTTTGCCACATATGGAGATAAAAATCTTCTTTGTCAGAGGTTTGTTGATTGATGGCTTGTTTACGCAGGCACGGTATTCTATTCAGTGCATACTTGTCTTTCTAAATCTGACTTACAGTGTGCCATTTAATATTTAAGCAAGGCTAAACAATATTGGTGTGTGTGTGTGTGTGTGTGTGTGTACATGTTTTTCTATCCCGGTGAGGACTTAAACCTGAGTACACACCAACTCATGGGTACTCGTGTCACCGTGGGGACCTAAGTTGAGGTCCCCATGGGGAAACAAGCTTATAATTCATACAGAAAGGGTTTTTTTTGAGAATGTAAAAATGCAGAAAGTTTTCTGTGAGGGGTAGGTTTAGGTGTAGGGTTGGTGTAGGGCGATAGAGTATACGGTTTGTACAGTATAAAAACCATTACACCTATGGAGAGTCCCCACAAGGATAGTACGTGTGTGTGTGTGTGTGTGTGTGTGTCTTTGACCTGCATTATATCCGAGCCTGCATCTAGAACAAATATTATTAGAGTTTACATGAAAGCAAGCATGCAGTGTGGTTGTGCGGCACATGTGTCACTCCAGTGCACTGGGCTGGATTAAGTAAGGTCTGTTGGCAGGCTGCCTGCCCCGCCTATAACGTTATCTGAACATTTATTTTTAATTTCTTAAGAACATTAAAATGTCCAATTTTCTTGTCTTGATTAGAACATTATTTATAAGTTACTTACAACTTTCTACTAGTATTATTTTCAAAATATAGCATATTTTTTAGCATTATTTTTAATATTCTAATCAGCGTTGTAAGAACATTCACCAAGTAAAAATAACATCGCAAGAACATTTTCTCTCAACGTTGTGAGACCGTATATAAAATATTCATAAAGTAATAACAATGTTCCATAAACATTACTTTAAGAATGATTTGTCCTAAATATTATATAACTTATTGAAAGTTGTGAGAATGTTCATTGTTAGCAGGGAACGAATAGTGCCAGTGTCATACAAGATCGGTAGAGGTATGCTAAGCTAGTTAGCTAAACAATTAGCTTGCTAACTGGGCTAGGCTAAACTGGAAAAGTAGGCTAAATGTTTAATTTGACCATTTTTAGCTTTGGGAGTATCATCTGATATGTAGTTTAGAAAACAAGATTCACATTTTTTGTTGCCAGTGTAGTTTCATGTTGACTTTAAACTCATTGTACTGTCTCTATGCAGGTTTAAACATATGTAAGATTGTGATTTTGTGGTCAAAATACACATTCCAAATAGTAATGGTCTGCCCCCTTGTGTTTTCATGGAGTAATGTCAAATGTGACATTTTTAATGACACTTTGTACTTTATTGGCCCTTAGTACTATATATGTGTTCAGTATTTTATCCAATATGACATCAATATTCCAAACTTTAATCTTAATCCTCTGTTTAATCTTTCCCATCCCTCTCACATCAATCTGTGTCATTCTGATTGACAGGTGCCCCTAAGAGCCGGCCGGCCAGCATGGACCTTCTGCTCCTGCATACCCGCCGCTCCACTCCTGACCTCCGTCCCAGCCCAGGCCGCCAGCTGCCTCGTGCTCCCAACAAAAATGAGAATGAGGAACGTGAGCACACCTACTCTGAAGTTTGCCGCCGCTCCTCTCCCACATCCCTCCCGCCAGATGACGGCCTGTATGAGAGTGTTGGGATCAAAGGGGCGGGGTCTGATAAAGCTGCCCCACCTGCTGCCCCTGCCCCGACGTCAACCAACACGCCCACTCAGCGCCGTGCCCACAGCCCGACGCTTAATGGGAACGGCCGAGGTGGAAGCAGAGGGGTTGTGAACGGCGTGAGTCAAGACGAAGTGACGGCAGAGTACGCCTCCATACGGAAGGTGAAGAAGCTGGAGCGCGGCAGGAGGGAGGAAGTGGTGGAGGATGGAGAAAGGGAGCACCAGAGCATGTCCAGCAGCGAGTCCTCCAGCAGCACCTTGCCTAGGAAAACAGTGGAACCATTTCACCTACCCAATTTCCCAAAGGTAAATATGACACAGATCAGCCACACAGGTTCAGAATAGTTATACATTTAAAAAAAAACTCAGCTCATAACTCATCCTGCAGGGGCAAAAAAATCTCACAGAAACCTTACAGAACGGGTTGGATATATATGCCTGGAGAACAGAATGTCATATAGACTCTTTCAAGTAACCACCTAAAACACCCTAGCTAGCAACTACACTAATGTAGTAAAAAATGCACTAAACACTCAGAACAACTTAACAGTCACATAGCAACGTCCTAGCAACCACCCAAAACACCCCAGCAACAAAAAAGTAACGCACTAAACACTCAGAACAGTTTAGCATGGCATAGCAATGCCATGGCAACAGCTTAGAACACTCCAGCATCATTATGGTATGTTTTGCACCACTCTCATTTTCTTGAGAAAATCTAATGTTGTTGTTGCAGGCAAAAGAAGAAGAAAAAATAAGAAGTGAGAGAAAAAAGAGTTATAATTGTCTGCCATTTGCGCTAATGTAAATATTAAGCACTTAAATGCAGAGCCTGGTAGTGCAGTTATACGTTTTGACCACTAGAGAGTGCTGTTTCCTATAAAAAAAATCCCCTAGAGCCACCAATCTGAAGCATTTTCTAAAACCTTCATGACTGATATGAATATGACTGATGACATTTACATGATAAATCTTTTAGAGTTTTAGATGTTAAATGTTTTTAATTAAAAGGGGTTCAAGAAATGAACATTAGCGAGCATTAAAATGTTGACTTGCCCACTCATGAGAAAACATTCTATTGACATAGTATTAAAAATGAACTGAAGTGATGCATTGTTACTTTGTGTGTGTGTGTGTGTGTGTGTGTGTGTTTGTTCACATTTCACCCATATTCATGTCAGTCTGTTAGCTGATACCTGTTTATGTTGTGTTCGGCTTTCAAGGACAGATAAGTTTTGCAGAGAACAGAACAGCCATGCTGAATGATGGTGCCTTTAAAATGGAAAACACACAGACAATGATCGGATAATGATCCAGTCTTCCTGTTAACTCAGCTCTGCTCTACTTGTCTTTATGTGTGTGTTTGTGCCATTTGTTTGCCACATATGGAGATAAAAATCTTCTTTGTCAGAGGTTTGTTGATTGATGGCTTGTTTACGCAGGCACGGTATTCTATTCAGTGCATACTTGTCTTTCTAAATCTGACTTACAGTGTGCCATTTAATATTTAAGCAAGGCTAAACAATATTGGTGTGTGTGTGTGTGTGTGTGTGTGTACATGTTTTTCTATCCCGGTGAGGACTTAAACCTGAGTACACACCAACTCATGGGTACTCGTGTCACCGTGGGGACCTAAGTTGAGGTCCCCATGGGGAAACAAGCTTATAATTCATACAGAAAGGGTTTTTTTTGAGAATGTAAAAATGCAGAAAGTTTTCTGTGAGGGGTAGGTTTAGGTGTAGGGTTGGTGTAGGGCGATAGAGTATACGGTTTGTACAGTATAAAAACCATTACACCTATGGAGAGTCCCCACAAGGATAGTACGTGTGTGTGTGTGTGTGTGTGTGTGTCTTTGACCTGCATTATATCCGAGCCTGCATCTAGAACAAATATTATTAGAGTTTACATGAAAGCAAGCATGCAGTGTGGTTGTGCGGCACATGTGTCACTCCAGTGCACTGGGCTGGATTATGTAAGGTCTGTTGGCAGGCTGCCTGCCCCGCCATGTTTTTTTTTGTTTGTTTGTTTTTTTGTTAAAGGCATCAGGGAGGAACCACAGAGCAGGTAGTTGCTTCAGCCAGGGAAATAAATAGCAGCAAACACTGTAGCCATTCATCTGCTGGTATTAATCTTTCATACAGGAGGTGTGTTTCTTTCCCACTTTAATCATTGACTCGCTATTCGACGTGCATATCTGTTCCTGTAATGATTAACTCACAGAACATTTCCATTGTAGAAACAAACACCAATCAGTCCTAAATTAAAGGAACAGTTCATGTCATTCCAGTCCAGCATGACTTTCTTTCGTTGCTCTGTGAGACACAAATGGTGAACTTTTGAAAAATGCACTGGCCACCGTTTTATTTTTTTAATGAAAATGAACGAGGACTGGTGCTGTTGAGCTCCAAAATGACAACAACAAAAAAATCACAAAAGTGGTTCATACATTTTTTTGCTGAAAATTCCAAGTGTTCTGAGGTCATATAATAGCTTTCTCTGACAGAAACAGACCAAAATTTAGGTCATTATTTAAAATTTTTGTATACACTTTTATAGTTTTTATTAATATTCAGCTTTTATTTAATATTTTCAGAATTCGTTTTAATTACAGTTTTTTTTATAATTTAATCTTTATTATTGTTTTATACTATTTCGGTTTAATTTATTTTTATTTTTTATTTCAGTCATTTTAGTGCTTCAACTTAAACTTATTTTACTTTGTTGCCAAGGCAGCATTTTTCATTTTCCTTTAAAGTTTTTCATCTAATGTTCATAATTTATTTTAGTTCAGATTTATTTCAGTTACCAAAAATGTTTTGGTCTTAGTTAACAATAATAACCCGGCTGTTGAATGAATAGTTCACTCAAAAATGAACATTTGATATAAGTTTATTCACTCTAAATGGGTGCCGTCAGAATCAGAGTCAAACTAGCTGATAAAAACATCACAATAATCCACAAGTAATCCACATGACTTCAGTCCATTAATTAACATCTTGTGAAGTGAAAAGTTGCATGTTTGTAAGAAACAAATCAATCATTAACATGATTTAACATTAAACCTTCACTTTTGGACAAAATACCTCTATCCATAATAACACTTCCTGAATTTGTTTCCTACAAACACACAGCTTTTCACTTCACAAGACGTTAACTGATGAACTGGTGCCATGTGAATTACTGTGATGTTTTTATCAGCTGTTTGGACTCTCATTCTGACGGCACCCATTCACCGCAGAGGATCCATTGGTGAACATGTGATGTAATGCTTACATTTCTCCAAATCTTTTCTCACGAAAAACAAACTGGATGAGTACATTTTCATTTTTGGGTGAACCATTCCTTTAATCTCTCCAAATGGATTGTTTAATCGATCAGGTTGTAGAATCTAATCAGTCTGATTGGTGATGAATGATTCAGAGTGTTATCACAAACAAGAGTTGCTGATTCATCGAAAATACCTGACACAAAAAAAATTCATTCGTTCACAAAACGGATGTTGCTGCTTCTCTCATGAACTCACAAACATGGAGAGCTTGAATTCAGATGACATCAGATTCAGTCTGTTTGCATTAGCAGTGCTTGAGGAGTTCTGACCAGCTCGCATGTTCCTCATGTGTCCAACAGGAGGCGGTCTTCATGGGTAACGGAGAGCAGTACATTTGGAAACCACCAGAAGAGGAAGAGATGATCATGCCAGTGGTCCCTCAGCTGGAGAACGGACACAGCCATCCCACCGCCGTGGAGGTAACGTCTGCCTCGCTATCCCAGCACTGCAGACGGGGTCATGACATTTGTCCAGGTTTACATGAATGGATCAGGTTTCAGACTTTGACATTTGACCTCTAAAACCCAGGACCATTTCGGATCTCTTTGGTCTGACCCTTGTGCATTAATAAAGAGTGTGGAAGTGAGTGGAATGATGGCTGGAGTCTGATAAATTGTGGCTTGAAAGTGAGAGAGAAAGTTTGATCCTTCTTTTCTCCCTCCACCTCTCAACTCTCTTCCTGCTCTCTCTCTCTCTATGGGTATGGCATGACTAACAGGCAGGTCAAAGGTCTGTGGACTGTGCTTGTTGACTGTCAGTTCAGGGTTGGTGTGAGGGAAGGAATATGAGAAGTGGGGAGAGGTCGGGACAGACAGGCACTCTGGGTAGACTTGAGTTTAATCAACTTCCTGTGGCCAATCAAAACTTACAACTTGGTTTCAGATAAAAGCATTTACAGCAAAGGTGCCTAGTGTAGATGTTTGAAGAATACATACAGATTCTAACAGGAAGTTATATGCACCATTATTACTGCAAAAAACGTTTTCTTAATCAATGTTGTCTCCTTTTTAGTTAAAATACCCTAAATGTCATCAAGATTTAATAGAAAAGCTAAATTGTGTAAGATCATACTTTAAGACTAATAATAGACTAATAGTTTGGAGTCCATTTTTTTGTTATATTTAATGTTTCTTATGCTCAGCAGAGCTGCATTTATTTGATCAAAAATACTGCAAAATTGTGAAATAGTATTACAATTTAAAAGAACAGTTTTCTTTTTGAATATATTTAAAATGTAATTTATTTCTGTGATGAAAAGCTGAATTTTCAGCATCATTACTCCAGTCTTCAGTGTCACATGATCCTTCAGAAATCATTCTAATACGCTGATTTGTTTCTCAAGAAACATTTATTGTTGTTATCAATGTTGAAAACAGTTGTGCTGCTTAATATTTTTTAATACTTCGTTCTTTCTTTAAACTTATGTCAAATAAAGTTTCAATAATTTTGTTGTTTTAAGTATAAAGCTCACTAAATGTAATTGGTTAAAACAAGAAAAAATTGTAGAGTAAGGAAAAGCAATCTTAAATCAAGATACACTCAGAAAATATATTTATATTTAGGCCTTAAATTTATGTATATGAAATGCATATAAAATCTCCATCCATATGGATTACACATTTTTAACATTGATAAACTTAATTTGATGCATATTTGTCAGTCATACATAGTCATACATAATATTTCTGTAATAGTACTATTAGTAATAAACTGGATGCGTTTTAAATACACAATAATCAGGTTTATATATTTATCATCAATACATTCAACTTGTTTCCTTATACATTTTAATTAGCTGAATATTGCTTTTTCCATAGCTAGCCATTTCTTAACCATGTTCATACTTTTTACCTGACTAAATGTGCATTGATATTAACACAACAATTCTGTTCTCTGATTTTAAAATGTGCACCTCTAGTGCCTTTGAAAATGGCATTCTACATTTATTTTGTTTGTTAGTAGTGTGAGAGTAAGCTGAACGTCTTTGGCTCAGATAGAAGTGTTGGCTGTTGTAACCGGTGAGCTGAATACACTTCTCCATGCTCGGTCTCTCTCACTTCTCTGCTCATTCCTTCTCTTGTCCAGACACGCCCAGTTTCATGTCATGTGGTGTGTGGGCGTGATACTGCATGGCCCTCTGCTCCACTTCAATTGACACATTATACTCAACATGGGAAAATCATTGGACTTTTTAAAAACATTTTTAGACATTTTTTTTTTATCATTTTTGCAGTAAATTTCAAGGGTTGTGCATTGTGACAAATTCATTCTTAAAAGTATTACCTGCAATTATTATTTTCCAGTTGAAATAATTTTCTATCTATTGTAATTACCTAATATAATCTTAATTAAAAATCTCCAAACGGTACAATTCCCACTGCTTTTGTGTCCAAGTGTATGCACGCATGCTGCAAGTCAAGTAAGATTGAGTTGCCTCAGAAGAATGCATTCGGGGCACATACAGACACACACACACACACACACACACACACACACATTTGGGAGTTTCAAACAACATGAAACTCAGCGGTTTTCTTGAAATCAGCTGGTTCAGTCATGCCTCCGTTCAGATGCATGCTGCGTCGTGCCGCGGCCTGCAGATTACACTACGGGCTAAAATACTGAATGCTGCAGTGTTGTTTTCCAGACCGTTTAGAGGTTTTAACATGAAAAACACAATCGTATCCGCAGCTCTATTCATGCCATACCATCTCCTCAGCCTGTACACATGAATGCTGTAAAGGTCACTATGTGAGTTGGAGAGCAGAGTTGAATTCTTGACTGGGATTTTACACATGCCATTGAGCTGGGAGTGCTAAATGTCATCCGCCACAGAGAGGGCGTGTGAGGTGAACACACACACACACACACACACACACACACACAGATCAGTGTTAGGGGTGTGCAATACTGACAAAAAAAATTCAATTGGGATTTTTTTCAATAACGATAATTAAACTATATTTTTAGTGTGTTTTTGTGCTGGTACCTTGGCTGGTTTAAACCTGTCGTGGATAAATATATGTGACACTAAAACTACCAGTAGGTGGCGACAAGTCCCTGTGCACATCCGATATCATGCATTGTCTGAATAGGTACTACATTTGAATTTGAACTTACTTCACGACCGTTAAAAAGGTGCATTGAATATAGTGTGAATATGGGCAGTATAAATGAAATTTGGACATAAGACATCCGCCATGTTGTTACTGTCACATGACCTACCAGCATCAGTTGCATTGCTTCACTGCCATTCATAAATCCTCTCCCATGGCCTCATGGGATAGTAAAGTGTCCATCAAATGCGCACTTCAGAATCACATTGGAAGTAGTAGGTCATCTGGGTACTTTTTGCCTGCTGTTTTATGAATACTGTGAATTCGGACATACTACTCTTTTGCTGTACTGTTCTTCGCATACAATATAGTAGGGAAGCAGGGATGCTGCGCCTGTCTTAATGTGTGATTCATTCATTCAAACGATTCGTTCAAAATTGCTGATTCATTTAGAAACGAAGCAAGTGACTGTCTTTATAAATTGGATCATTAAATCACCGACTCAAATGATTTGTTCAAAAACAGATTCATTCAAGAACAAAACAGTGCAGTGTTGCTCTGAAACGCACATAAATGTCCTGCTACAGCTTTGTTTGGAACTATTTTCATTGGTGAAACAACAGACACTATTGTGTGTAAAGTGTAACTCACTATATATTAACTTCTTGTTTGTTGTACAGAATCAATCACATTTGCAATTGCGTTCGTGCAAGACATGCTTTAGTTTTGCAAAGTGAGTGACATACTCGATAATGTTAGCTCGCACATTGATGATAAATATCGCACACCTCTAATCAGTGTACATGTTAGACGTTTTCTTGAATCACATGCTCGTAATAGACCACACATGGGCATTAGAGGAGGACTGAAGGAAATCTTCCCACCCATTTACCTCCTGTCTGGTTAGAGAGGTTAACGGCGTCTCGGTGGGCTGCTGTGGTGAAAGTTTAACAGGCTTATCTGCAGGTTAGGTAACAGATAAGAGCGTTTACACTGGCTCTGTCGATCACGGCTAAAGTGGGTCATGTTTCTGCTGAGTGCAAGCAGAGTCCTGTTACCACACACACTATGACACACGAGTCAAACACTCAGCGCTGTGGGCGTCTGTGTAGTGTTTATGCTACATCTTCAGGCATATTAGAGTGTTATGTTGTGTTAACTCTTATCTGTCCTGTTGTCTCTTTTTACCTTGTTAAGTCAGTCGTGACTATTACTGTTGATCAAACCACCATCAAAACAAATCTGAGGAATACATTTATGACGTGTCATTAACGATACTTCAAATTATGGACTTGTTGAGGAGAAGTGTGCTGTGCAGTGATCAAACTTACATATTTCACCTGATGATAAAACTGACAAAAATACCATAGAATTAAATTGATGGAGAGAAACCACGCCATGCTGGTTTGTCTAGACAGACGCTGGTTTTCGTCTGGTTTCTCCCAAGGTTTTTTCTCCATTTCTGTCACCGATGGAGTTTTGGTTCCTTGTCACTGTCGTCTTTGGCTTGCTTAGTTGGGGACACTTGACTGATTGCACAGACGCTATTGGAAGAGAGCTGAACTGGATGATGACATCACTAAATTATCAATGAACTGACTTTAGCTGAAAAAATTACTCTTTGTTATTGTCTTCTTGCATTATTGACAAACTATTTTCCTGTTTGACACTGTAAAGCTGCTTTGACACAATCAGTATTGTATAAAGCACACACTATACAAATAAAGGTGACTTGACTTGACTTAGAAACAAATATCATAAAGATGGGGCAAGCAACCAACCAGCAGCCACACAGAACACACTATCAACCACCTATAACAGCCTAGCAACCATAGCAATGACCCAGAACATCATAGCATCCACCAAGAACAACCTAGCGACCACTTAGAACACCCTAGCAACCACTAAGAATACCCTAGCAACCACCAAGAACAATGTAGCAACTATCCAGAACACTGTAGTAACCACATAGAACACCCTAATAACCATACAGCATCACCCAGGCACCACCTGGATCATGCAAGCAACCACCTAGAATAAATTAGCAACCTTACACCACACCTTAGCAACCATTCAAAACATCGTTGAAACCACCCAGAATAGCCCAGTTACCATAAAGCATCAGGCATCCATCCAGAACAAGCAACCACCAAGCAACAACCTAGCAACCATGCAACCACCAAGAATAGCCTAGCAACCATACAGAACACCCTAGCAACCATACCTAGCAACCATACAGAAGCAACCACCAAGAACAACCAAGAATAGCCTAGCAGCCATACAGAACACCCTAGCAACTGCATAGGCAAGTTGTAGATAGCATTTGGTGGTGGAAATGAACTTTGCAAGTTCTGAAATCTGTGTGTTTTTTGTAACTCCTTCAACACTATAACTGTAACTTGAGAATGTGCTCCAGGACGGTTATTATAACGAAATCCACTTTGGCAAAGTTGATCTTTGGCAGGCTCCTCATTCTGTGGTTCTCTCTCTCTTTCCTCAGATCTCTGACATGTACTCTACCGTTTGTAAGACCCTGAAGAGGAAACACCAGCAGGGTCAAAGCCAGGAGGATAGCAGGCCGACGGCCTCTGCTGCGTCCCAAGAGGTGGACCGGGGCACCACGGGCTGGCCTGCCGCCGGTGCTACAGGGGAAGAGTCATGGGGGAGGTGTGGCCCCCAAGAGGAGCCCTGCTACGAACCTGTGGGTGAGAAGACGTGGCCCCGGGGCCTGGCGCAAGAGTCAGACCCAGCCTACGCCACCATCGATTCCCACCGGAAACGGGAGAAGCTGGCCAGCAACACGCTGAAGCCCAAAAAGAAACCCGCACAGGGTCCGGGCAGAGCCATGACCTGCGAGAACTTTTACGAGACTATCGGCGACGTGAAGCAGGGAGCAAACGCAGCGAGCACCACCACTATCTTTACCTTTAATGACGGCATGGAAATGTACGTTACGGGGCTATAAAAAGCTTGACTTGAACCGACAAATTAAACACCTACAGACTACAGACAAAAACTAACTGCAGCCCTCTGGTTCTGACAAATGAAAAGATACACAGCCTACAGCTGCCAAACACACGGCAACCTACATAACCACACAACCAATGTATATTTAGTCTTACCATAGGAGTGCACAATCAGTTGCAACACTCATGCAGACAAAATAAAACTGAATTGGCTGAACCAAGCCTGCAGCCGGGCTGTGTTTAGCTGACAGGAATGCTCACCAAATCCAGGGATCTAAACTGATTTGGCCATCATGCTACACTTGCTACAGTAGTTTACTGCAGGGTTAAAATCAATATGACTTTAAGACTCACTGTAGCACAGGGAAGTTTGGACCTGATTATATACAGTACCAGTCAAAAGTTTAGAATAATTAAGATTTTTTTATGTTTTTGAAAGAAGCCTCTTATGCTCACCAAGGCTGCATTTATTTGATCAAAAATACAGTAAAAACAGTAATATTGTAAAATATTATTACAATTTAAAATGTTAAAATTTCATTTATTCCTGTGATGTGAAGCTGACTTTTCAGCGGTTGATAAAACATCTTGAGCAGAAAATCATTATATTAGAATGATTTCTGAAGGATAATGTGACACTGAAGACTGGAGTAATGATGCTGAAAATTAGCTCACAGGAATAAATTAAATTTTAAAACATATTCAAACAGAAAACTGTTATTTTACATTCTAATAATTATTCACAATAGTATTGTTTTAACTGTAACTGTTAAGCATAAGAAATGCCTTTCAAAGACATTTAGAAAATCTTGATTATTCCGAACTTTTGACGGGTAGTGTAAAATCACAATATACACACTGTCGGTCAGTCCCATTGCCGAGTGAGCACTACCTGCACATTAACACAGGGAGCACATGAGATGTCAGCTTATTGCCCGTCCCCTCCCGCTCTGAAAACACACCTGACTGGTTCTCTCAGCTTGAGACGGCCAGCCACCATCACAGTGTTAGTTTAGCTGAAAAAAACATACAGAGTTAACTTCTCTTGTTTTCCACCTTAAACATTATGTATGCAGTCTGACAGTTTAGGTGGTGTACATACGGTATGTCTGGTCATTTTTTCAGTACGCATGTAACTTGCAGTAAGGCCCAGGTGGAATCTGCAGGTATTTATTTATTTTATTTTTTATTTTTTTTGGCACTGATCTTGGAGAAGAATCTGCAGAATTATCTTTAATAGATTTAATGTTGATAAAATGGGTTTAATGAAGCTACCTGGTTACCTGAATGCATTAGATACCATTATTATTACTTTACAATAAAATACATATATAATAATAATAATAATATTTTGTATATGCACTAATGTTCAAAAGTTTAGGGTCTGTATGACTTTTTAAAAATGTTTTTTAAGTCTCTTATACTCACCAAGGAAGCATTTTTTTATTCAAAACAGCAATACTGTTAAATATTATGTAAGTGCATTAGCTCTTAAATTTCTTTAGCTTTTTGGTTATTTTGTCTATTGCATGCCACTTCTGCCCAATCTTTGGACGTGTCAGGTAGTTTTAGTGATATGCCACTCGTTTCTCACAAGATTTGACATTTTTGAAATATTAACAGAATAGAAGGTAGAAAAAAAAGCAAAACAAGGTTTTTCGGGATGCCTCAGCCTAGCTAGTTAACATGTCATTTTCAATGGCCATTGTTAACATGAGAGTTTATGAGGCTTGTAGCGTCAGTGTGCTGGAAGGTTGTGGTGTGCGTACAGAGGGCAATAAAGGCTTCTAGTTTGCTTTCGATCCACTGTTCTCAGGTCAGTGTGTGCCAGCACTGCTCCCCGGCTCGCTGGGCCTCCGGCTGGCTTAGCTGTCAGCAGCATTTCATGGAGACAGTGTCCAAGGAAAACACAGCACAAGGCTCATGGTTGCTAGCAAATGTCTTTTGGAAGGACGTCTCATATTCTGGGCTGTCTGTGCGACTTGATCCTATTGTAAACAAGGCCTTTCCCACATGCATTATGGGAGCTTGGATTAGGATCGGGGAAAACAATGGAGCAACCTCTGCAAGGGGAAACCATTCGAGATGATCCCCGAAGACTTCCAAGGGCCATCGGCATGAAATAAAACAACTCCAATGCATGGTTGGTGATTTTACTTCACCGAGTGTACTCAGCATATTCAGATCATTGAAGTCTGTTGGAGGGCTACAGGAAAGGCCCAGAGGAAAGGGATTTTGGGTTTCGAGAGGGCCAAATTATCAGCTCAGGGATGGATAGATAGAGTTCGTTAAGGATAAATAACCATGATACTGTCCTCATCCACGTCACATGCAACCTCTGGTGAGAAACGTTGAGTTCGTCATGTCAGTTTTAATATATACCAAGATGAAAGATTTTTATGGCACTCTATTTTCTTATAAAACTGTATTGGTTAACTCGTTTCCACTTGTAGCAACGTGTTCAAAAAGCTACTATCACTGCCATTCACGTGTTCCACTGTTCTGTTCAAGTAGGCTGCAACTATTTCCTTGCTCGCAATGCATGCTTCTGAAAACAAAAGCTCTCGTTTTTTTCCTTATCCTCTCTGGTGCATCAGATATAATATATAATTCATTCCTGTGCCTCTCACTATAAGACATAGTGCCACACATGCAACCTCTGGTGAGAAACGTTGAGTTCGTCATGTCAGTTTTAATATATACCAAGATGAAAGATTTTTATGGCACTCTATTTTCTTATAAAACTGTATTGGTTAACTCGTTTCCACTTGTAGCAACGTGTTCAAAAAGCTACTATCACTGCCATTCACGTGTTCCACTGTTCTGTTCAAGTAGGCTGCAACTATTTCCTTGCTCGCAATGCATGCTTCTAAAAACAAAAGCTTTCGTTTTTTTCCTTATCCTCTCTGGTGCATCAGATATAATATATAATTCATTTCTGTGCCTCTCACTATAAGACATAGTGCCAAAATTAGGGAATACCAGTCACCAAATGGGAAGTGGAGATGCCACAGGCGGCGGCTGCTGAGAGGTTATGGATCTTCTCAGGGAGCGCAAAGCACATATCTGGTCCAGGACTCGTCCGAAATGGCAGGGATCTGGTCTCAAAGCAACTGTAGGCCCTCCCTGCCGTTATTAACATGTGTCCTTGAGATTTGACGTCTGCCATATTGAGGGAGGAAGTGTGCTCCACTTTAGCTTTGGCTTGGCGGTTCCTCCCACTTCTGAATCTGTCCTTCTAGCACAGGGCTTGCTTTGTATTGTGGGGCGGTTCAGTGCTTTTGATGTTGTCGCTTCTGAGAGAGGCTGGGAGAACCGATTGTCCGGCCATGCATTGTTTTTGATGAAAACGAGATCTTTCAGGGTGTGATTTGTACAGGTTGCACAAGGGTTTATTGGTTTTTCAACCACATTTGTTCTTAAAGGAGGCCGAGAAATCACATGCCCGAATTATGATATTTATTGGCAAGTATGTAAATAAAATATCTATTAAAAATCCATCTGCTTGCATTCAACAGACGTATCGACTGACGTGATGCTTCTTGCTCACTCAACCTTATGTGGTTAAACAAAAATGGACATTCTACCATAACAAATCGCATGTATATAGAGCATACTGCAATGCAACTTAATTATATTATAAAAGAAAAGCTCTGGTATTGATGTTTTAAAAAGCAGTGAAAGGTTTCTACTTCTGCTGTTTAGGTTGTATGTTGTGAAGTGTGTACATTGTAACACTGCTTCCCCAGAATATGTCCTTGGCTTAACTGATTTTATGTGTGGTCCACCCAAAGTGTAACACAGACTATAGTGTATAAAGGCAAAAAATAAAGAAATAATCTGTTTAGTAATATTCTGTGCAAAAGATTGTAATGTTTTCTATAAAAAAAAATTAATATAAATATTTGTTTTTACTTTTTTAATAAAGTTGCACCTTATGACTGGTTGTGCGTTGATTATTCTACTGCAATTTAGCATGCATGTTTATGTTTATTGAACAATTAGATTTTTAAAAACGTGTTTCAGCCATGGAATGAAAAATTTAATAAAATTATCAATAAAATTAATAATAATAATAAAAAAGTGTATTTTTATCTCACAATTCTGAGTTTACATCTCACAATTCAACATTTAAACTCAGAAATGTGAGATAAAAACTTTACTTTTTTATTTTGTTGTGAAGAAAAAACCCAATTGAGAATACTGAGGAAAAAATGTGAGAATTGCTAGGGAAATTCTGAGTTTATATCTTGCAATTCTGACTTTTTGTCTCACAATTGTGAGATATAAACTTAGAATTGTGTGAAAAAGCTCAGAACTGTGAGATAAAAAGTCTCAATTACCTGTTTGATTTTTCTTTTATGTGCCGGAAACAGGATTTAATAGTAATCAGTATATAAGGTGGAAGAATACATTATTAAGTCTTTTAAAATTGCTATTAAATAATTATCTATTGCACAAATACATACATTTCTAGAAGATCCACAAAATGTGCATCAAATCAAAAGTCAAGCTCTTTGCTTGACATATTAACGTTTGATGTGAGAACTGCATATAGGGTGGCGGTTTTGAAAACTATGCTGAAAAAAGATTGAAATTTTTTTTGCTTGACTTTGCTGGTCTTGGCTGGTTTAGGGTGGTCTCCCGGCCTGGACAGCTGTTGCTCAGCTGGTTTACCTGATCTCCCAGTCTGACCGGCTGAAAATGCCTGAACCCCCTTTAAAACTGACAGGCCAACTAAAACCAGCAAACCAGTTCAGGCTGGTTTGAGATGGGGTTTTTTCCCCAGCAGGTTAGCTCGCATGAATGCTCATTAAAAGTATTTCCCAGTCATGTTTGTGTTCATATGCGTTCCACAAGTTCTTGTTTTAATGATTTGTTTCGCCGTACAGAGACATTCAAGCTGAGAAACTATTCCTTTTAGAAAGTGCGTCAATTTTTACCGGTGTTTTTTCTCTCTTCCTCTCTCTGTCTGTACCGGCCGGCAAACCATCGAGACACACCTCCTAAACGCTCGAAAAAAATAATTCCGACGTTTCCCGAGCGACCAATCAGCTGCAGATCTGCAATGGCCGCGTGCCTAAATAGAATGTTTATGTATGGAGGGGGCCAATCAGAATCAATGAGGGGCGGAGCCGAGCGAATCTCGCCTGGCTGCACGCGCAGGATAGAGTGGGCGTGGCGTCGGGCTCGGCGAGAGAGAAAAGCAAAACAATCATTTTTATCCCTTTTTACCGACTGCTTTTAGGGTCCGTAGTGAAATACACTCTCATCAGGGAGTCGTAATCCACAATACTATTAAATGCATCTTATCCCGCTCAGCACTAAAATCTACCGAGCGCTGGTGATTTTGCTTTAGTCACATTTGATCCAGGTTGAAAATGACTTCCAAG